GACAAACCTTCTTTTACTGTTTTCTTGGTTTCATTGTTGAATTGTTTGATGGTTGATAAGATATCTTTTATGCCCGAACCTTTGGCTAATTTTTCCAGTTCTAAGTTATGTCTACGTTTTTCTCTGGCTGAAGCGTCTTCTGCTTTTTTCTTATTTTTCGCTGAAACAGCCGAGCTTACTCTGTGGCCGCTAGCCCCGCGAAAATTAAGGGTAGGAGAAACAGAAATCCACCTTCTTTGGCTTGTTTGTCTATTTCATCAAAATTGATATGTTCTTGAATTTTATGATTTTTTAATTTGTCGATAATTGATTTTGATATATGTATCTTTTTACCTTTATAAATAATTGTTTTCGGTTTGCCACTTCCAATTGATTCTAATATTTTCTCGACTAAAATTTCTGGTTTCATTTTTTAAAATAATTTTTTTGTATTCAATTCTGTTCATCTTTCTATCCATTATATTTATGATATGACGAGACTCTTCTAGTAATAAACAATACCCGACCATTTCTCCTGCTGTCTTTTCAATATATACGGGCAGCTGAACACCCGTCTTGAACAAATCTTCTTTGTGGGCGGAGAGATCAAAGCAAACTATTGGATAATTTAAAACAAAATCAACATATTGAAACTGAGGTACATTTCAAAATAACTCACTCATAATTTTATAGTTTCTATATAATTCGTTAAAATCTTTAGTATCTGGATCAATTGTCAAAGGTTGGTTTGGATAATTTTCGTTATTCTTTCTTACTTGAACTCTTTTTATTTTAGGATCTCGAAAGTTGTCACCGGTTATTTTAAAAGGTTATTATTATTTTCTTGCGAATCCGAAAGAGTTTTGAAACGAAGTATTAAATATCTTGCTGGTTTTGTAGTGTTTGTCACTTGCCATATGTAATTCTCACATGTGATTGTTATCGATCCAATCGTGTTTCTTCTTAATAATGCTATATCAATATCTTTTGTCAAACTATTAAGTAGTCTTGTTTCTACTTCAATTGTTGGGGGTTATTACTGGAACATATAATTGAATATTTGTTATTTCCAATTTAGCATTTGAATTGTCTTCTCCAAAAAATATTCTATCATTATTTATTGTTCTTTGAAGATGGAATTTGAAAGGAAGACCAATGTAAACCTTTCTATGTTCGAGTTAACCGAATAGTGGATTTACAGGCCAGTTAACATAAGTTCCCCAACTATTACCATCAACAGTTTGATCTAACTGCAGTTCTAACTGTTCCTTCGTTGGCATCACGTGCAATGTCGTCTTGATTGTTTTGAATTTCCCCATTAGTCCCCAGAGCACCAAAGTATGTTTTGGAGTACATACAATGTTTTATTGTTTTTTCTGCATCAGATAGCGATTCTGAACACATTTCCACCGGGTGCCACTTTGGTACCCTTGGGGAAATTTTTTTCATAGACCAAATTCAAAATGGCCACCATCCCTGATATTCCAAGTACTATTTCTGTCATAACTTTGCTTCTAGTGCAGCAATAGACATAATCTTGGTGTCAAAATATATGTTTTCAGGGTCAAGAAATTCACTTATGATGGTTATTATCGTGAAAATGGAATTAAATTGAAAATGGCCGGAAATTCCGGATACTATATTTGTCATAACTTTCCTTCTAGTGCACCAATAGACATAATTTTGATGTTAGAATATATGTTTTCAGGGTCAAGGAATTCATTATAATGGTTATTTGTGGTTATTTTATCGAAAAATCGAAAAGTCCCTTAAATTGTAACACATAATTTTTATCCAAAAAATGTTTTTACAAATTCTAGTGTATGTCATTATTGGTGTCGAAAAGAAATGTAATTAATTATAATAAACAGTCCAACAACATCTCTAACTACCAGGCCAACAACCTCTCTTACCACCAGTCCAACAACATCTTCACGACCAGTCCTTAAACATGTTCTTCTACCAGTCCAGTAGATGTCGCTGGTTTTCTATGGGTAGGTGATGATGGATTTGTAGTAGGGAAATTGGTTGGACTGGTAGTAGGGGATGTTATTGGATTAGTATTACAAAAGATTATTGGACTGGTGGTAGGGGGTGTTATTGGATTAGTATTACAAAAGATTTTTGGACTGGTAGTAGGTGATGTCGCTGGTTTTGTATGAGGAGGTGATGTTGGATTTGTAGTAGGAAAATTGGTTGGACTGGTAGTAGTGGATGTTAATGGACTGGTAAATTGGAGATGTTGTCGGACTGGTAATAGGGGATGCCTACCGACTGGTGGTAGGGAACGCGGACGGACTGGTAAATGGAAATATTGTCGGACTGGTGGAAGAGGTTATTGTAGGACTGGTAGTAGGCGATGGTTTTGGGAAGATTTGATGGACTGGTATAATAGGGGATATTTTAAGACTGGTAGTGAAGATGTTGTTGGACTGGTGGTAAAAGGTGTTGTTGGACTGATAGAGGCGAAGGTTGTTTGACTGTTTATTATAAGAAGTACTAATATTTATTTTGGAAACCAGTAATAACAAACTTTACCAACACCAGAATTTGTGAAACAATTATAAACTGAGTCAAGATATACGAGACTTCTGACGATTCCTACTGAGTATTGTATATTTTATTTTGATATAATTTAATTTTTCCCCACAGGGAATAAAACCATTATAAATGAGTTCCTTGACCACCCTGAAGACATCAAAGTTATGTCTATTGGTGCCATAGAAGCAAAGTTATGACAGATATTGTATTCGGAATATCGAGGATGGCGGCCATTTTCAATTTAATTCAATTTTTGACCATCATAACCTACCCATAGGGATTAAAAACCATCATTAACGAATGACTCCAAAATTATGTCTCTTGGTGCCCTAGAAGCAAAGTTATGACAGAAATATCACGGAATATCAGGGATGGCGGCCATTTTGAATTTGGTCCATAAAAAAATTTCCCCAATGAAATGTGTTCAGAAGAGTTATCTGATGCAGAAAAAACAATAAAACATTGCATGTACTCCAAAACATACTTCCTTCAAAATCTGGTGTTTGGTCACCAGACTACATCTCGATGATGAATTATATTCTTTTGGATAAAGTAGGGTTTTGAACATGTCAAATTCACCTGGGAGTTTAATGGTTTCAATCATATTTGAACCTGCTTCTAAAACCATTTCGCTGAATAAGGAGGGGAAAATTGTTTTCTAACGTAACATTCTGTTCTGGGATTCTGTTTGGATGGGTAGTTCCATCTTTAATCTTAATATCCCAACGGAAATAAGCGTCAGATAGGAGTAGGCAATTGGACAAATAATTGATTTCAAACGTTACCCTTCCTCCATCGTTTATCTGGGATTTAGAACAGTAGTATATGAACTTATGGATTGAAAGCACTTTTCCCCATTTCATTTCATTCCATGGGAAAAAAGTGCTTCCAATCCATAAGTTCCCAAAAAAGACATCTACACCCCCCGCAATGTCGTCTTGATTGTTTTGAATTTC